AAAATTAAAATGGTATAAGTGCAGATTTTTTGTTATAAAACAGTGAGTTCTTGGGTCTAGTCAATAATAGAAATGATCAAGTTAAACATTTGTGAATTTACTTTTTAGATATTTAATGACAAAGTACAATGTAATCAACTTGGGAAAACTGGCTAGGGCTCACACTATAAGCAAAATAATTACATTTCTGAATAAACTGGACATTTGCACTGAATATTTGAGCCTTAAAGTGGACCTTATGCTCCAATGATCTGAGGAATGCTGTGTCAGTGTCTGGTATGTGTCTGAGTGAGAGGGGCTTTCCCATAGATACTGAATACGTGTGTGTATGTAGAATGCAGTGCTAAATTAACTTTCTGAGGGAGATAAAGTAGCCCATACCTTTAATATTAACTGGATTCACGTCATGGTAAAGGTATTTCAGGCTATTTAAGGAAGCACAGATTAAGGAACTGCTTATTTAGTCGCATTCATACACGATGTTCTGCTTCAGTCAACAATGAGTCAGTATTTAAAGTGGCAATGCAGTAATGACCAATGACTATTCCCAAACCTGTGCCCAAGCAATTTATAAATGTCATGCCAGTTTACAAAGCTATAAAATGGAGACAGATGTTCAAAATAGAAACAATATAGAAATCATAAATGACAAAGGATGCCACAGGATCTCACGAGACAAAATTGCCGCAAGAGAAAAATTATGTTGTGAAATTTTCTTTCCATGTGTTCCATTTGGTTTGGACAATAAAAAGTTAAGGATGTGTAACTCACTAGCACTTGAGAGCTGTAGTTTCAAAACAAAGCGCTATAACAACAACAAAAGTATTAAATCAAATAAACTGAAAAAAAATGTTAGGCCAAAAATGTGAACTGGATTGAACAATTTATTTATTATCTTTCAAAATCTCATCTTGTCTCTCATGCACTCAGTCTCGTGTCTCGTCTCGTCTTGGAGGACGAGGAGAGACATGAGACTCTGGTTTGTATACAGAGGGAAATCCATCTGGTTACCACTCCTTCTGTTACTAGGCTCAAACACGACCATTCAGTCAAATTTGTTTATTTCATTGATGCATGTGAAACGAAGAAGCTCATGGGTTAAACATCATTTTGAACAAAATCACATTTCTCTCTCCTCAGATTAAGAGTTTGGTGCTAAGTGCTTCTACAGAAATCTGCCATGTTTTTCAGTGCCCTGTGATGTTTTCTTCCTTTCATTTTTTTCCTCGTAAGCAACCATATTTGTTTTGATTGGCTAATCCTGTCAATCATCTGAACATCCAAGTGTGCGTTCTGAATGCCAGAATTTGGTAAAAAGAAAAATTAGGTATTCAAATAAGTGTTATGTACTGTTAAAATTATAATGGTCAAGTAGAAGGAAAAAGTACTGACAAAAAAATACCAAAGTAAGAGCAAAAGTCTGATTTACAATTTATAGTTAGACCATAAAAATGTAAAATCTAAAAGGAGAAGTGCAAACACAAATGTTGAAATCATTTTATATTGCCAACATAAAGTTTTTGTCACTTGTAGATTTACTCACATTGAGAAGAGGACCCAAAACCTTTACTGAAGAATACTGTTACACTACAATATATCACAGAATTATTAGAAGTAAAAGTATGGGGTTTGAAACTGGCAACGACAATTTCTTCAAAAAGTAAGTGTACCTGATTATTACCAAATTAAGTTAAGTTGATAAATTAACAAAAAAATTGGCGAATGGTCCACCCGCTACCAAACCAGGTTTTAACACGTTTTGGCTTTAAAATGGTAAATAAACAGACGTAATGTGCCATATGACCTAACTCCATGATCCTATGTGAAAACACTGTTAAACACCAAAATTATGTTTACTTTGCCCCAGTGGAATGACGTCTGAGCAGGCCCCAAACCACAGACACCACATGAACACTTAATTTGACTGACAGCTCAATGGCACTATAAAAAGGAATACTAACTTTATTTGGGGGGCGGGAGAGCTCTTGGATTTCTGTCAGTCACATCACTGTGGTCCTGTGTCTGGATTACATGAGAATAAAACGCTTGTTGTATTGTATTTTTGTGTTAATATGAAGCTAGTTCATTTTAGACTTTTGGCAGCAACCCCAACTCATTCCTAATCCAAATATCTTTTTTTTTTTTTTTGCATGCATGCATTATATGCATGATTCACATATGTCAAAAACTTAATTTATGTACAGGACAACACAGGGCAGTCATTAGTATAGATTAATCACAATTTTCAATCCAATTAGATTTTTAGAAAAATGGAAAAGGCTATTAAAGGAGCATTGTGTAACTTTTCAGGTAAGGGTATGCTAATTAAGCATCTCCAGGGATGGGACAAGATCTTGTGTCACAAGATTCACGATCAGAATAAGAATCAGAATTAGAATTTCATTGAATGTCATTCCAGTATAAAACATTAACAGAAACGAAACACTGCACTCAGGTCCATGTCATCAGCAGCACAAATAATAATAAGATGACAAGATAAAATTGCCACAGTATTGTGCACACATGAGAACATTTTTCTTGTGAGATTTCATTTCCATGTTTAAATTTTGGACTGGATAATGCAATATTAGGTCTTGTCCCAGCCTACGTATATTTTTATTACACAAACAATTGAGGCATTTTCTTCTGGTCTGCTTCAAAACTCATGGTTTATTGACACAGGACTGGCTATAAACCTCACCATTTAAGAGGAACCAAGCTGATCATTGATTAGTTCTATTAAAATTCCATTAATAGTTAGTTAATAGCAGAGCAGTGGTACAGGTCCCTGTGTGTCAGTGTGGTACAGTAGAATGCTGTATTCTTGGCTGGTTCCACAGTGTCATTTTAACAGTGGAAAAAAGCCCTTCGTCTGGAGCCAGTTGTAGTTAGCACCTCGTCTATAAACACTGTTTTTATGAATGACCCGAGAGTGGACGGCCTTTTGACAGCGTGGTGTGAGACTCTGGTAAATTAGCACAGCGCGAGAAAAGTGTTGAACAGAACATTACTGGAAGCAATCGTACTATGTTTGGTAAAGATTCAATTGTGACAAATTCTCAGTTTAACGTGATAATCCTGCTTTATGGTCATTGTGTCAGTGGTATAAAGTAGTTTCAGTATTATTGTTTATTGTCCATATTTTCATCCACAATTTGTCAAACACAAGAATACACAAGGTCACACACAGGTCAAATGTACCAGGACAACATGTGTACAGGAAGTCCATAAATTCATAGTTTATCTGTTTTTGTTTAAAATGTCAGTGCTGGTGCAGAGGCGGGACTTATCAGCTTCCTGGTCTGACACCTGGGGGTCAAAAGGTGACTTCCTGTGCAGCCCGCTTTATCTGTAAACTCTGATGATACACAGGACTTTATTTTCTCTGTCTCTGATTTGGGTCTATTATTTGACAAAAAGCGCATGTGTCAAAGGGTCAAAACTCCTCAGATGATTTCAAAAGATGGATGTTGAAAATTATGCTTAGCTTTTGAGAGAATCAATCAAAGACAATTTAGATGGGTTCAAACTATAGTGTAAATGAGTGTAAAAATGAGTGAAGAACAGTACAATTTAAAAATACCAGTGCAGTACTTTTGTGCCTGGTTAGTGTTGTTGAACCAGGCATTGACAAGGAGTTATTTCAATGTATTTAAAGAACATGATTTATCATATATGTTATTCTATACAGGAAAAGGTGGTTCAGTACTGGTGCCTGAAAAAACCCTAAGCAAGAACCAGTTAAGATAAATTTCTATATTATCCTGTGCCGCTTAAAGGTGCACTATGTAACTTTTTGTGTGAGGGTCCGTCACCTGCTTGTTTCTATGGATATGTCATTGAACTGCCTGGAACGTTCCACAGTATGACATTAAACAGCTCTACCTTACATGTATTCACTTTTATAGCTCAAAGATACCCAATAAAACAGGCATTTTGACAGTGAGAGAGGTTGCCTTTCAGATCTGTCCTGTAACTTTTTCAGTCTTAAACAATATTTAAATGTGCAACAAAAAGCACACACCACAGACACGAGGAGAATCTTATGAGACTTTAAATCTCCAATCGCAAAGACTGCTGCGGGATATGGCTGCGCACAATAGGGTATAAAGTTGTGAGCAGGAACGCATCAGCTGTTCCCTGTCTACAGTAAAACAACTCGCTTTAAGACTGTTAAAAGATCAGAGCACTGCACTTCTAGTTTAGGTACAAGTCAAAACTGTGTTATTATTATGCGTGAAATGTGGTGCACTACTTCAGATACATAATTTTTAAAGCATAAAAGACTGGCAATAAAGTACAGGAAGTAGAGTCAATATCGCTAATCTGCAGCTTCACCTTCCGTGCGCTGACACACGTGAGGACCTACTCTTGTCTTTTTACTTTTAAAGAATGCCTGAAACTGGAGTCACAGCTCTATTTTGTAAACTGGATGTCATTATTTGCAGAGGATAAATTCTATGGATAATGTGGATGAGATGCTGCAGTTTAACTTAAGTTTATACAACATAACAAGAGATGAGTAATAAAGTCTTCTCAATATCTCGTTATATCCCGAGTTTGTATCTTGCTCCTTTGTGTTTGTCACTCCTCTGTCCCTAGCGCTCTGTTTTATTGGCTGTTACTGTAGCGTTGTTGATGTTTGGTGGTTATGATCTGACAGAGCAGCTCGGAGTCACACTGACACCAAACACGCAGTGCAGTGGTGTCAAAATAATGCGAGAACAGTCGGGTCATGCCTCCCTGAAATCTGAAAGAAGCAAATCACAGCCAAAATCGAGCAATTTCTCCTGTAGTGTGTGGCGGCCTTTCGTCTCCATGATGATAGAAAGGTTTAATATCATACTATGAAACATTCTAGGCAAAGCAAAAACATCTCCATGAAGAAATGCATTTGACGGACCCTCCAGCTGAAAAGTTCCACAATGCACCTTTAGAATAAAATCTAATTTTGTTGTTTTGAGCACCAGCCTCGATAATGACGCACAGCTGAGTCTTACCTACGCACGGTGAGCTTGAGGACTCTATAAGAGCCTTTGATGAGGATGAGCGCCTCCTGTCTGCTGCCGTAGAGAACTGTCCCGTTTATGGTGATGAGCTCGTCTCCCACTCGGAGCCTCTGACACAGCGCTGCCTTCCCCCCAGCTTCAATCTGAAACACAGGGACAAAACAGGGTCAAAATAAGAGCTTAAGATTTTTTCACTTTAATTGTGTGTATATATACATATACATATACACACACACACACACACACACACATATATATATATTTTTATAATTACTTTGGTTTTACTTAAAGTTGCGTTTTGTTTCATTCACCCATGTTTAACACAAAAACCCTGCATATTTAGGCGGAGTTCTCTTAAACAGAATAATATAAAATACAGGAAGTGCCCTGAGCTGAACTTGAAAACTCTTGCTTCATGACATCACAATGTGGAACAGAACAGAACTTGAGATGTAAACAGACTAATAATAAAGGTTTACTTAAAAGTGTGAATAAAACAAAACAACACTTCAGGTATGTTTTTGATGAGAGAACATTATAACAGAGATCAGGAAATAGCATAATATAGGCCCTTTAAAATATCACAATATCATAATCGCAGTACAAAAGAGTCATTGAATATTGCATCTTTTTCTCATATCTGACCGCTCTGATTTCAGTCTGGTTGTAGTCTGGTAATAAAAGGCCAGTTCAGTTCCATTATTAGCTGCATATGTGTATTACCAGGGCTTAGCCTCTGATGATAAAGACCTCAGTCAGGGCTGGCTGTCCTTATGTCAGTGTGCTGCTTTGAACCCCATTTTCTGTCACATTTTTGCAACTCTGTCTGGTAACCCATGGCAACAGTGTTCAAAGTGCATATCCCAAAAACAGACCATAATAATCAGTCCACAGGAATATGTTAAACCGGAGGTTGGGTCAAACAGTAGTGAAACCAGAGGAGTGAGCACATTCCTGGGGTATTTTTTAGAATGTGGAGGAGTTTTGTGGAAGTTTGTGAACTACAAATAGTAACACCAGAAAATACAAGGAAACAGATTTTTTTTAAGGATTTGATTTTAAATTCCATAAACATGTGTGTCTGTGTCACCAAATAAAAGGTAAACACGTTCAAATCAAATATAGCTTTTACTGATAATAGTAATGCTGATTTATTCTAAATTACACAAACAATGGAGATGATGGCCAAATTATTTATGTTATAAATTAATTTGGTGTTTTAGTTCTCAAGACAATTATCCAGTCAGAAAGCAGAGTGAGCCTCACATGAATTGCCATATTCAATGCTTAAATCCAGGGTGTTTAAACCTAAAATGTCTCTCTCTGATCTGAATGGTCTCTACCTAAACCCCCAGCACCTGCACCCAAACATGAATCGGTGCTAGTGCAGCCTCTGCAGCTCAGGGAGGGAATTCTGGAGGTTCTGAGCTTTCACATGAGGTCTGTCCATATACTGAGAATGAGACAAACTTGTATGTGTCCTCTATCTGCAGATTAAGGCTCTGGCAAAATACACAACTCAGTAGTGATTGTAATGCCTTTTATAAAACTGTAAAGGCCAGATTTAAGTAAGTTGTTGTTGTTGTTGTTGGATGTTGCATGGTTTATTCAGTAAACCATCCAACATGACCACCTCTCTCTCTCCTCTGTATACTTTCCCTCTCTCCCTGGAGTCTGACCCAGTTGTTTCTGGTGTTTTGTTTGGTGCCATTTTGCTGCAGCAGCTCCAGACATGGGTGAGGTCAGTGAAGGCGCTGAGAATAATGAAGCCTCTATGTGCTACGTTCTCACACACCCCGTTAAATTTAGACTTTTACTCAGGCAAATTCATGGCATTTAAAACATGGGAATCCCCGAGGTCGTCAACACCTGGCAGTCACCGGACGACCGCACAACAAGGGCGTCTTTAATCAACAGAAATACTGGAGATTGGGCTGTGAGATTAAGTGCAAATGGACACAAATAGCAAATGGCAAAGGTTGCACTTTGAAGCACCATAATTTCCTCCACAAACAATAAGATATTCTGTCCGACTCTCCATAAAAACTGCTAACCCTGCAGTTTACATCTGTACAAACATGTTCTGAAATGTGATTCTTGTGTTAGTTTATCAGTTCAGATTTCAGTCTTTGGAGAGATAGTAGGTTGTTAGTAGGTTGTGTTCATGTGATCACAACATTCTTGAATCGCTATAGTTATAGTTATACAGCACTGAGCACAGGTCAGGTAGAGAGGATTCAGATCAAAGTGTAATTTTTGGTTTAAACTAGAGCCCGACCGATACATATCGGTTGGCCGATATTATCGGCTGATATGGGCAACTTTAGGCATATCGGCTATCGGCCGATATGCTTGCTGATAGGGGCCGATATTTCACGTGGGCATGTTATACCTCGTTATAAAGCTTAGACTCTCTACATTCTGTTCATTTAATCCAATTTACAGACAGATAAATGTCCTAATATGTGGCTCCACATCAGTATTTATCTACGGAGTCATTTGTCTCTGTGTGTCCGTACTGTCCCTGAACACACCACAGAGTCGCGTCACTCACGTGTGTTTGTTTACACCTGCAGACACACATCCAAACACTGAGATTATATTCTTTTTACGGACAATCGGTTTGAGTCTGGATTAAAAGGACATTTATTAGTGCAGATTTGTAATGTGAGGAGGAGCCTGTATGAGCGGTGAGTGTTGGAAATATGTCGACTCTGAAGCTAGTTTTTGTCATTTGTTATGGGTTAGCTGCTGTAGCTCCCGCACATAAACAGACTGTTTTCTATTGGTCTGTTCTAAAGTGACTATATTGGCCGTATATTTGCTACTGGACCTGCACTGATATGTAAATGAGCTGTGAATAGAGGTGTGAATTATGACATTTGCACATATAATTAATTACCGTGGCGCGCACGTATTTACGGCTAAAGCGCTACTTTCTTTACTAGTTATGGGTCCGTCGCGAAGGAAATCACTCTTAGAACCGGCTCTTTAAAGGGAACGACGGGAGACTGATCCTTATTGGGAGCCGTGTTTTCTCTTTCTCTCACTTTTTTCTCTTCACGCCACGTGCAGATTCGTGGTTTGACAGCGGCAGCGGCTAAAAACGAAACTTTGAGAAATTTGCGTGTACGTAGGATTAAAAAAAAAAAAAAAAAAAAAAAAAAAAAACGAGCATATTTGACTGTAGTTTAGCATAAAATAAATAAGTCCCGGTTTAGTCCTTTTTCAGTCCTGGTTTAGACCTGGTTCAGTCCTGATTCAGTCCTGCTTTAGACGTGCTTTAGTCCTGCTTGCAACAAAACAATCTGAAGAGCCACTTGGGAGCCAAAAGAACCAGCAGCTTTTAGTGAGCCGAGCCAAAAGAGCCGGTTCTCTAAAAAGAACTGGAATACCCATCACTAGTGTCTAGAATGTGATGCAAAAATGCCATTAAGTCAACCTACTGTCTGTAAATATGATGTAAAGAGGCAGAATAACAATAAATGTTGCCTAAATAAACCCAATTTAAAATCCACCAGAGCCAAACCTAAGTTTTTTAAACAATTCAACATTTACAGTGAATTTTTACATCACTAAATATATCAGCGATTATATCGGCTATCGACAGCTCCAACTTCCATTATATCGGTTTCATATCGGCCACAGCAAAATCCATATCGGTCGGGCTCTAGTTTAAACACATTCCGCATTGAAACTGGCAACCCAAATGAGAGACTCGTGAGGCTCATTCTGCTTTCTGATTGGATAATTGAGAATAAAAACACCAAATTATAACATAAATGAATGGGATGTAAGGTCCAATTTTTATAAACAATACAGACACAGAGAAGTCGTGTTTATTAAAAGGTGCACTGTGTAACTTTTCTGGTGGAGATTCTACCACCTGTTTGTCATGGCATTGAACATAACCATCTTGCATTTACTCAATAACATGTGTTTCACTGACCTAAAAACTTGCATTCTTACTGTGAGCGGGCTTGCGTCTCCACAGATCTGACAAGAAACTTGGCCCTGCTGCCTTCACAGAGATAAATAAGTATAATGCCATACTGTGGAACATTCCAGGCAATATCTCCATGAAGGCAAACAGAAAACCAGAAAGGTTACGCAGTGCATCTTTAAATTTAACATCAAAATCTTACTACAGTTCTATTAAAACATAAATCACAAATATAATTGCATTTCTGATTCAGATTTTTAAGTAAAATGGGCGTTTAGTCTTAAATATTGATAACTGAAAACATGGGAATCCCCGTAAGTGGTTGCAGCAGGTTGTTGACATATAACAGTTCATAAAACTGGGCTTTTCTTATGAAAACACATCATGAAAATTAGTCGTGGAAAACATGTTTAGCTTATTAGCATCGCAAACATCTATAAAAACAGCAGGAGATGTAGCAACGGCTAAAACAACACATCTGTTAGCTAGCAGGCAGAGCTAAACATTCAAACCTGACATTAGCAAAGGTCGTGCCTGGGAAAATCACTACTTTGGGATAGACCAGATCTGGGAATGTTAAAAAACATTAGCGTACAGATGTAGCCTCCACATGTAGCCTCCACCACAGACTCATGGGAGAATCCAAACTTATTTCGGCAGTCGGGGAAAAGATGGCTCCTTGTTTTTTTGTGGAGATGTAAAAGTATTTGATGCCGTTTTAACGCACATGTGCAACTCCAAAAAGAAGAGGAGAAGAGGTGAGAAGGAGAAGAGAAGGAGAGAAGAGGAGAGACTGAAGAAAGGAGGAGGAGAAAGAGGAGAGATGTGGAGAGAGGAAGAGAGAAGAAAGAGAGAGGAGGAGAGATGGATGAGAAGAAGACAGGAGGAAGGGAGGAAAGAGAAGAGAAGTTAGAGATGAAGAGATAAAGAGGGAAACTGGGTGATTTGTTAAGTGAAGAAGAGAGGAGAGGATAGAGGAGAGGAAGAAATATTATAGGAGAAACATAGAAGGAAAAGAGGGAAACAGTGGCTGATTTGTTTAGTAAAGAAGTCCAGGAGGAGGAGAGAGGATGAGGAGGAGAGGAGGAAAGAGGAGGAGAGAAGGAGAGGCTGAGGAGGAGAGAGGAGAGGCTGATTTGTTCAGTGGAGAGGAGTAGAGAAGAGGAGGAGAGGTGAGGAGAGGAGAGAGGTGAAGAGAGG